CAGAGGCGTATTCCCATGGGATATACCTGTCTCAGAGGTGTATTCCCGTGGGATATACCTGTCTCAGAGGTGTTGTCCATCCCCACCGTGGCCGCAAACTCCGGTTTGTAGTTGTAGTGCACCAGTCGCATCTGGGAGATCCGCTTCAGCTGCTCCGTGGTGTCCACCTGGGAAAAAAAACCAGGCACAGGGAACTCCTAAAGGGACTGTTGCTTCTTAAATCCCCACGAGTACAAGCAGGAAAACCCACTGTGGCTCATGGGAATTCCTGTGGGAGACTGGAACCTTGCTCGGAGCAGCCGCTGGGACAAACAGCACCAGCACTGGGGTTAATCTCAAGTTCTGGTCTCCAGACATATTCTTGGGATAGGGAAGCCGGGAAGAGAGAGAGTCTCATTGCAGAAACAGACACAGAGTGGAGGCAGTTCCCGAAAATATGTGGGGTGAACATATCCAGCTTTTCTGGACAGGCAAATCCAGCTGACAGGAACTCAGAGCAGAGCCCTCTGGCAAGGTCCAGGATGGTGCCTGCCATAGTCACCTGTTTCCATGTATTTTCCAACTGCTTTCCACCTTTTTTCCGACTGTTTTCTGACTGTGTTTGCCAGTTCTGTCTAACACTGGAAGAGTCAATATTCCCTAGGATGTGGTGGACAGGCTGTGTCCAGGACAGAGATAATTCTAAGGCACTTCCCATCTGACCAACAGTCACCTGATCCCGGAATATCCTGAGCTGCATGGGGCCCATAGGGATCACTGAGTCCAACTCCTGTAGGCCTAGAGCTGGACTCCCACAGGAGCTCAGGTTATCCATAAGGATTCTATGGAAACCAGCATTTTCACAGAAATAGAAATTTCCATTTCATATGGAAACCAGCACTGCGGTGCCCCTTCACACCCCCCCCCCCCCCCCCCTTTTTCCAAGGTCTCCCCTCCTGGATGTCCTCCTTCACCCGGACATCTGAGGGGTGCATCAGGGAGCCCATGACCTTCACGTTGCCATGGACCACCAGGGCCTCATCCGGGCGGTCGGTGTTGATGCCGACGCGGCCGTGGTGGAACACGGTGTCCGGGAGCTGCGCCCGCTGCCACAGCACGTCACTGTCACTCTCAAACTGGCCCGGGTTGGAAGCCTGCGGGAAAACGGGAAAGCGGGGGCTGAAAAAGCAGGGAAAGGACCACTGGGAAGCAGAGATCTTAGGGATGTTCGCCTGAGAAGCGGGAGGGGATTTCTGGGACGAGCTGTCCGTGAGATCCCAGTGCTCCCTCCAGCCCGCAGCACATGGAATTGCCAGCCCCACAGGAGGGACAGCAGGGAATGGGATAGGCGGGAGGACAGAGCCAGGAGAGGACAAGGAGGGTCATGGAGGTGCCACACAGAGCTTTGCACAGAACAAGGTGGAGTGGCAGGGCAGGGATCCACCGGGAATGGATCTGGGAATGGATCCCAGCCCATCCTGGCAGCCTCGGCATTCACCTGCTGGCCCAGCCTCCCCTTGCAGGAACCAAGGCTATTCCTGCTCCTCTCCCCTCCCTAAAGGAATATCTTTGCTTCCTAGAGCTGTTGTCCCAGAGCTGCTCCAGGACAGCAGGTGACCAAGTGACGTGGATGATGCTCCTGCCTCCCAAATCCTGCGGGGTTCTGTGACCCACCTGCAGGTTGTGCTGGGCTGCCTGCAACTCCCTGCTGGGAATCCTGGAAGTTACATAACCCATCATGGACTTCTTGTCTGCAGATCCTGAGGCCCCTGTTTAGGTTTTATTCCCTGCCTTCACGTCTTGGAGCTGAGTGCTCCAGCAAAACCCCGGGAAAGCCTGGGAATTGTACCTGTTCTTGCCCCTCCTTCCTTAGGACATGCAAGGGGTGGGAAGGCACCCAGTTTTCCTGCACCTGGAACGCTTGTCCCTGCTGCAGAGTCCCAGCTGCACTCTTCCCTAATTCCCAACAGTCCCAACTGGACACTGCTCAAACCTTGGAATCTGCAACAGGTTCCCTGAGGAACTAGATGTGGAAAGGCTGGAGCCAGAACCCAGGTGTGGACTGGGAATGCTACAAACAATGCAGGGGGAGTTTGGAGAAGGGGGGAGAAGTGGGAAACCGAGGCTGGAAAAGCCCTCTGAACTCATCAAGTCCAACCATCCCACATTCACCACCAAAGCACCACCCCAAGTGCCACATCCCCAGGTGTTTGGAAGGTGGGAGATGGTCCAGCCAAGGACCGTGGGGCACCGGAGGGAGGGGACAGGGATTTACCCGGACGATGATCCGCTCGGAAATGTGGGCGGCCAGCGTGTAGTTCTGGTTCTGGGCGTGTGCCTGCAGGGCCACCACCAGCATGAAGTACCTGGGAAGGGAGAAAAGTCAGGGAAGCATTCTGGGAAGTGCTGGATCTCCATCCCCTTTGGAACACCGTGGTGGGCTCAGAACATCCCCTCCCCCTGTGCTCCTCCCAGAGAGGGGAGACCCTTCTCGTGCCCAAGGATGGCCAATCCAGGCCTTGTCCCCCATGTCCTCCTCCCTCTGGACACACTTCCCGGGCCAGGAGGAGGCAGATCCACGGGAGGCTCGGGATATTCCGGAGCCCTCACCTCTGGTCCGGGTTGGGTTTGCCCTTTTTCCGCATGTTGTTGGCCGTGGTCTCGCTGAAGTGCAGCCGCCCCACGGTGACCTTGGTGACCTGCTCCGGGGGCAGGTTGACCCTGGAAGGGAAGGGAAACAGAGGAGTGAGTGAGGATGCTGCCTATCTGGGAATGCTGCCTAGTATTTCCTGCTCCTCTGCCTAAGGACATGCAAAAAGCGGGAAGGTACCCAGTTTTCCTACACCTTGCAGAGCTCTAGTTCCCAACATTCCCTCATTCTGCTGGATCATTCCCAGTAGTCTACTGAACACTGGCCCAGCCTTGGGATCTGCAACAGGTTCCCACATGCCCTGAGGGTGCTCTGAGGAACCAGGTGTGGAAAGGCCGGAGCCAGCACCTGGAGGGGAGGGTTTTTTGGGAATGGCCATCTCCCGGCCTGCTCCAGCACAGCTGGGCTGTGAACTGGACACAGAGCTGGGAATGTGAAGAGAGGAAATCAAGGGAGAACTGGAGAGTGTGGCAACCACCCAGTGGAATGCGAGACTCTAACTCTGCCCCTTTCCCCACCTTCTGGTGCTGTTATTCCCTGGAAACACGGGATGCTGGTTCCCACAGGGACACACTCACGTGACGGGGTTGAAGGGCCGTTTGCTGCGATCCGACTGCGACTGCTCGATGTTGATGGATTGGTTCAAGGCCTCGAGCTGGAGACAAGGATTTGGGAATGTGACACAGGGCACAGAGACCTTCCCATTCCCACCTCCTCCTTCCTAGCTCTCTGCCCACCTTCCCATGACTTGGTACAACCCAGAGTGTGGGCACTGCCCAAACATGGGAATCGCCCATGGGGGGAAAATCGAGGGTGGAAGGATCTTCCCAAAGTTTCCATATACCTCTGGAATCAAAGGTGAGAGAGAGTCAGCCCTGAAACACCCAGGTAGTGACTCAGCCCATCTTAGGACTTGTATTCCAATGGTTCAGAGGATGTTTGGATTGGATATCAGGGAAAACTCCTTCATGGAAAGGGCGGTCATTGGAACAGGATCAGGTGGTGGAGTCCCCATTCCTGGAGCCATTTAAAATCCATATGGATGTGGTGCCTGGGGACATGGTTTGGGGTGGCCTTGGCAGTGCTGGGGGAATAGTTGGACTCAAGATCCTAAAGGGCTTTTCCAGCCTCAGTGATTCCATGGTTCCACACATTCCTCTACAACGCAGCACGTGAGGCTGCATTCCAAGCCCCCCCTTTCCCGGCTCCATTCCCCCTCACCCTCAGCTCCCGCTCACCTTCACTCCGTGCAGCTTCAGGTAGAAGCATTCCAAGGGTTTCAGGCCCTCAGGGGTCTTCACATACTTGGGGTCTCCCAGCATTCCAATGTACACCGTGACCTGGAAGTGGTTCTTCTTCTGGCACACGAAGGCATCGTCCCCCACAGAGAAGTTGAATCCCTTGTCGGCGTCCACGCGGTACGTGAGCATCGGGCTGGGAAAAGGGAGCAGCAGTGAGGCCAGGAGGGGATCCAAAGGTTTCCCAGGGAAATTTGTGGATATCCCATCCCTGGAAGTGTTCCCAGCTGGGTTAGACAGGGCTTGGAGCAACCTGGGCCGTGGATCGGATGATCCATAAGGTCCCTTCCAACCCAAACCTTCCTACGGTTCTTCCACTGGGAAGGAATATGGAGATGCCAAGCTCCACAGCCTTCCCAAAGCCTGGAGAATCCCTTTAATGCTGGGAGAAGCAGCTCAGGCTGACCTGGGGGTGTCCCACATCCCGTGGCATTCCCAGTGTCTCCTGTGCCAGCCCTGCTACCAGGATGTGCCTGTGTCCCAAATTCCTGTGGAAACCACCACCACCACCTGCTCCAGTGGCTGCGGAAAAGCTTCCGGCTCCCAGATCCAGAGAGGGAGGAGGAGGAGGGGTCCTGGCTGCTCCATGGACACACACCAGCTGGAAAGGTTTAATCTACATCTCCTTAATGGGTTGGTTTCCATGGGAATGAGGGAAATATGTGGCCTTTTCCTCACCATCCAAAAATCCCAGACCTGGGCTGGTGGGCCCTCGGAAGGGGGGGAAGGAGCTGCCTCTCATCCCGCAGAACAGCCACATCCCATTGTTTTGAATTAAAGAATTAGGGATGAGGTAAAGGGGGAGCTCAGCCCAGCCTTGGATATGGGACTTAAAAATTAAAGAGCACTTTTCCCTAAAAAACAAATCACTCCCGACTTCTACCTCCAGATTCTGCCCAGAGCAACGGGAGGGGAGGCGGACAGACTGACAGTGAGGAATGTGGCAGACTCTGGGAAGCAGAAAATAGGGATTCTGCCCTGGTATTCCTTCCTTTTTTCTAGAATAAAGCCACTGTCCCCCCCAGAACACCTGAGAGGATAATGTGGATGAGACCTGAGGGTGATTCCAGGCTGCCAGGAGCAATCCTGGGATGGCCATGAGTAACTGCTCCCTCCTTACCCCAGGGACCTGGGAATGCCGTGCTTTGCTCCAGACACAAAGCAGACGGTGGGAGCAGAGCTCTGCCTTAGCCCAGAGGCACGAAAGGAATTCCTTGACCTCCTCCCAGACTCTCCATCTGGATATTCCTCACTGGAGCCTGAGCACCCTCTGCTCATCCCACTCCTGGCTGATTTCCTGGCTCCTGAATTCACTGCTATTCCCACTGGTTTTTAACAGGCAAAGCCAAGGAGAGGAAGGGTCTGTCCCAACTTCCAAGCTATGGATGCTTCCCAAACTTCCAAACTGATGGCTGCCAAACATGTGCTGACAGAGGGGAGACAAGAGGGCTCCTCCTCCTCTCTGCCTCCTGGAAATTCCTGGTCTTCCACAATCCCCTTCCAGAGGCTCCTATTCACTGACTTTCCCGTTTTCCCAATGGCTGTGGCTGGTGCATCCCCCAAATCCCTGTGCTGGGACTGATGGGAGGGAAGATGCTGCTTTCCAGAGGGATCTCCATCCCTTCTGGCTGAGTCGAGCAGCTGCTCCCAGGGCAAGGTATTCCCGGCTCTCCAGATGGGGATGGGGCGGTAAGAGAAGGAAAAGCAGGAGACCTCAAGGGAGAAGCAGTTCCTGGGATTAGGGATGACACCAGCCACTGACAAATCCATGTCCTGGGAGCAGTCAAAGTATTTTCCAGGGAGAGCACATGGGCCAGAGGGCAAAGTGTCAGGAATAAAAGGTCTGGGGTCAAATGGATTGCTTTATCCCAAACATTCCCAGTGGCAGAGGCGGATTAAGGTGGGACAGAAGGGCAGGATCACGGGAGAGGAGGTTTCTCCTGATCCGAGTGAGGGGTCACAAACTCCCCCCAGGGAATTGTACTGGGATCTTGGCCAGGAGCAGGATGCTCACATTCCTTAATTTGTTCCTCCCAGGCACAAAAATCCCTAATTTCTCTCCTTTCTTCCCAATTCCCCAAGATCTCAACTAAAACAGAATATCGGGAGACCCCTAATTCAAGGATCACTCACTAATTCCACGTATTCCCTGATTTCCTTCACTTCCAGGATACAAACACCGGGATGGAGGAACCACTGTCATCTCTCCCACACAATCCCACCTGTGCACCCACCTCATGTGATCCCTCCAACTTCCTGGGATACATCCATGACCCATCACCCTGTGCCACCTATCCCAAAACACATCCAGCAGGTCTGGACCACATCCCACGGGTCTCCATTCCCTCCCTGAGATCCAGGATCCAGCAAGGCCAAGTTTGGAGCTGTTTATCCAGATACTTCTCTCCCAAGCAAGGGGTGGAAGCCCAAAAAGCTTGGGATTAGCTGCCTGTGTGGGAGCCCCACGGAAAGCACCAGTTTGAACAGCACGTTCTCGGTCTCCCAGTTGGGAATTCCAAGGCCCTGGGCCTCAGCATGTAGGTGTTTCCATGGAGGGGTGAACTATTCCCAGCTGCCTTCCCTCAAGCTGTAACAAACCCGGGAGAGGGAGGAGGGAGCCGGAATTTATCAGAGCCCGCTGTCAGGGAGATGAATGACTCCTTCTCCCGGGAGTAAATTAGGGAATTGCCCAGTTCCAGGCCTCCTTGACACTGCAGCTCATCCCTGGGAAGGTTCAGCAAATCCAAACCCACAAAAATCAGCGCAAAGGGCCAAAAAAAATTATATATTGTCCATCAAATTAATCCAGGGATTTGCAGCTCCTTCAAGATTCCTTGGCAAAGCCTGAGACACGGAATGGAACTAATCCCTTATCCCATCCCCCTGTGGAACCTCACTTTTTGTGTGCAAAAGAACATGGAATTACATTTAACTGTATGTGTTGCCCCTGGAATCGCTCCTGAAAATCTGGTAAAAACCTGGATAGTTTCCCACGTCCTTCACCTCCTTCCTGAACTCTTTCCTTGGGATCAAGAAGAGGAAAAGTCAGATAATTCAGATGATTCACATTCCTGGGCTAAGAAAAGCACCTGGATCCCAGGGAACTCAAACAGCACATGGAGACTGGGGAATAACTTCCAGGAGAAACTAGAGCAGGAACAGCTGATCCTGGCTTTATGATCTCCAAGGAAAACTAAATTGTGGGAATAATAGAGATCTTCCTACTGCTGAGGACACCCAAAAGGAGAAAGGAAGGAGACAATTCCTACCTGCTAAATGTGGATTAACCAACCTAAAAAATCCCATTACAGGAGGAAGGGAAGAAGAAATTTTTGGTGTTTCTTGTGGAGTATTTCGGAAAAGGGCTGTTCCAGGAGAATAAGGGACATTCCGTGTAAAAAGAGACATAGATCCAGCTCTCCTGGAGCCACCTGGCTCGTCATGGAGAAGGAAAACTGGACCTAAAACTGAATCGATCAACCTTTACCCCTTAATTCTGCTCCAATCCGGCGCCACAACAAAGCCCACGTGGCTCCCTCAAATTCCATGGAGTGACTCCAAAGGAATTTATTCCTTACACAACGGGATGATGGCCCTCAAAGCCCCAGGACGGGGTTTGCTCTGGCTTTCGCCCTAAATCCCAAAAGCAGGGTTTAGGGGAGCGATCCCAAGATCCAAAGAGCAGGGCTGGGGTTGCAGCAGTTTTCCAGCAACTTCCCCGTGCCCAGGAAACATCGTGGAATTTGTCTCTGTCTATCCACCTGTGTGCAAGCAGAATTTCTGGAACTGGGATAGCAACACCTTGGAAACGGTCTGGGACAACTGGGACATGTTTGAGATGGGAAATGGATGGATGGGATGGGAGATGGAAGCAGTGAGAGGGTAAAGAGCAGCTGGAAGAACAAAGGATAAGAGCTGACAGGTGCAGATGCAGCTCAGAGGAGGTGGGAGAGGAATTCCTGCACATGGAAGCAGGATTTGGGGGATGTGGTGAGGGCAGGATCAGCAGGAGATGCTCAGCTTCCCACATCCCACCATCCACAGGGTGGAGAGCATGGATAGGGCTCCAGGAAGGCTTTGGAGCTGCTCAGAAGTTCCCAGGAGCAGCTGATATCCCACCTAAAGCTGGGAGACACTTCCTCTAGGGAAACCAGAAGGAACCGTCTTCCCAAATTTCCCCTCTCCTGTAGGGGGTGGGGAAAGAGCCACAGGGTCCAACAGAGAATTCCATGCCCTGCCACCACCATGAAAGCCGGGAGAAGGGCTGGATGAGCAGGAGACATGTGAGGGAAAGCTGGGATTTGCACTCTGCCCCCACCCCGGGATCCTTGGCTGCCATTCCCAGCACCGTCCAGGCACGCTGGGATCGCAGCCGGGGGTTATCCACAGGCACCGGAGCATTCCCTCCTCCCGGTCCCCACAGGAGCCCAGCAGCCCCTGGCTGGGCAGGAAGAGGAGGAGGGGGAACTGGGAGGGAACTGGGAGGGAACGGGGTGGGGGGATCTGTGCGGGGAGAGGTTCCTGGAAGCCATCCTGGCATTGCCAGCGTTCGGTCACCTCCCAGGAATGCAGGGAGGATCCGCACTGGTTTCTCCTCAGCTCTCCTCCTTTCCAGTGCTTGTCCACGTGCTGCCTCCACCCTCCTCTCCCTCAGTTCCCAGCCCACCTTCCCACCCCTCTCTGCTCTACAGCCACCTTGGTGATCCCGGCCTTCCTTTTCCAGCCTCTCTGCCACTTCCCAGCTTTCCACAGCCCCTTCCCGCTCCTTTTCCTCCTTCCTTTTCCCACCAACCCCTCCCACTCCTCCAGCTCCTTTCCACGCCGTGCTGAAGTGGCTCTGAATTCTCTCCAGCCATCCATGCTATGTGTTGGCTCGGAATTCCCAATCCTAAATTTGAAATCCTGGAAAGCCTGGGAAGGGGGGAAAGGCGCTGCTGGTCCAAACCATGCAGGATTTGCCAATAAAACCTTCCAAGATCTGAGTGGTGGCTGAAATCCCTTCTGCTATTCCTGAATCATCCATAAAAAGTGCAGAGGAGCAACTTTCCCAATAGGAAAGGTACAGAGGGGGGGAAGTATCTCCCCACAGCACAGCTGAGAGAACAAGGACAAATCCAGAGAGATCCTTATCCCATATTGTGACTATGATATTCCCAACCCCAGTGGCTCACCACAGACACATGGAATACGAATCCCTCTTTTTCCAGAGGCAGACGGATTACTCACAGCTCCTTGTAGTTGGCATCATAGAGAGTTGCCCACTTGTTCTGCTGGTGTGGCTGCCACTTGATGGACTGGAAGTTGGGATCCAGGTAGGATCCGTTCAGACTGTCGTTATCCTGGATCAGCCCTATGGGGAGGGGGTAAAATTCCTTAAAATCCCTACTTTAATCACTGGAATGAATGTCCAGCAGGGTGGAAGCCCAAAGGAGCGACTGGCACCGCCTGAAGTTTCCCTCCTGACTGCCAGGTCAGCAGATTCAGGACTGGAATTCCAGCGGGACGAAGAGGAGTGGGATCAGAGGGTACCTGGTGAGAGAGCACCCGGCTGGTGCCAGGGAGGAGTCTGGACTCGGTCGGGATTGAGTGGCACCGATCCCATTCCCGGCTCCTGCTTGATCATCCCGTTGAGCATCTGGGCATTGAGGGTGTTGGGGGGGGACTCGGAGTGTTTCCGCTTCTTGGCGGGATGCACCGGGAGCCTGCGGAGACACACGGGAAAGGCTGAGCTGGGAAGCTCCACAGCCCGTCACTGGCACAGGCAGGATCCTACACGGAACCCAAAAACATTCCCACAGCACTGTCCCACCTTCTCCCACACTGCCAAGCTCTGGGCCACATCCGGAATTCCACAGAATCCCAGAACGGTTTGGGTTGGAAGGGACCTTAAGGATCATCCAGTTCCAACCCCTTTCCAAGGGCAGGGACACCTTCCATAGACTGGGTTGCTCCAGCCTGGCCTTGGACACTTCCAGGGATGAGGCAGCCACAGCTTCCCTGGGAAATCCATCCCAAGGCCTCACCGCCCTCACAGGGAAGATCTTCTTCCCAATATCCCCTCTAAACCAGCACATGGAATCCCGGAATGGTTTGGGTTGGAAGGGACCTTAAAGCTCATCCAGTTCCAACCCCTTTCCAAGGGCAGGGACTCCTTCCACAGATTTCCTCTTGTTTATTCCCACCACCCAATTCCCAACTACACCCCACACTTCGAACACTGCACCCACCTCCCACTCCCATTCCCTCATCCCCACATTCCCACCATCCAGTTCCCAGCTACACCCCACACTTCGGACACTGCACACACCTCCCGCTCCCATTCCCCCTTGTCCCCACTCCCACATTCCCAGCAGCCCCAGGCCTTACTCTGCTCCGTGCTGCTGGAGGAGCTGGTGCAGCATCTGGGATTGCTGGGCGTGGTGGAGCTCGGCCGGCGCCATTCCCGGCCCGATCCCATACGGAGGCATCAGGGGCTCGGCCTTCAGGAACATGTCCCGCTGGAGGCCGGGAAAGTGGGAACTGTGCTGCGGCTGGAGGGGGTGAGGGGGTGGGGGAGGCGGGGGGGGACCCTGGAGGTGGGGGGGCGGAGGGGGAGGGGGAGGAGGAGGAGGGTGCTCCAGGCGGGAAGGGGGAGTCATGTGGCACATGTTTTCGGGAGTCATGGTCCGGAGGAGGTGAGGATCTGCAAAGAGAGGAGGAGTCACAGTTAGGGGTGTCCTGATCCCAGATCCAGCAGTGACCCAGTTCTCTTGGATCTCCAGCTCGGAGGGGACTTGGAGTGGCCTGTTCCAGTGGGAGGTGTCCCTGCCCACAGCAGGGGCTGGAACTGGATGATCCTTAAGAACCCTCTCAACCCAAGCCATTCCAGGATCGGATGATTCCGTGACAAAGACACAAACATTCCTGAGATGTGCTAAATCTCCCGTGGGTGCTCTGCAGTGAAAGCACATCCCCAGGAATTCCCTTAGGAATTGCCAGGTAGCTTTTGTGTTAGCTTTGGACTTCCCTTCCCAGAGAAAACCCACCAAGAACAGTATTCCCGTGGGAAGTGCGAGAAGCAAGGAAACACAGCAGGGGGTAACTCCAAAATCTGTTCCTGGGAATGCAGAGCTGGAGAAAAAGCACCTCAACTTTGCATAATAAAGCCAAGGCCATGTTGGATGGGGCCTGGAGCAACCTGGACCAGTGGAAGGTGTCCCTTCCCACGGCAGGGGCTGGAATGGGATGAGCTTTAAGGCCCCTTCCCACCCAAACTGTTTCAGGATTCTCTGATGCCGTGGGGACAACAAGAGAGAGAAGAGACAGGAATGACCTGAACCTGCCCAGGGAGGAGCTCTGGGAAGGGACTCGAAATATTTCCATTTAAGCCAGGAGGAGACCTTGATCCCTAAATTTAAATAAATAAAAAGGGACATTCAAATGTGATCCCACATTTCTCCTCCCTCTGTATGGGATTGGATACCAAAGCCATGCTGTGGTTAGGGTGGATTTGACTATTTCAACATCAAGACAAAGGTTTGGATGTGGAGGGACGTGCAAATCCATGTCCCTTCCTGCACTGCTCCAGCTCCTCATCACCTCAGTATTCCCATTCCACTCCCTGCCATGGGCAGGGACACCTCCCACTAGCCCAGGCTGCTCCAAACCCCATCCAAACTGGCCTTGGACACTTCCAGGGATGGAGCAGCCACAGCTTCCCGAGGAAATCCATTCCAGTGCCTCACCACCCTCGTAGGGAAGAATTTCTTCCCAGTATTCCATTTATCCCTGCCCTCTGTCAGTGGGAAGCCATTCACCCTTGTCCTGGCACTCCGAAGTCCCTCTCCAGCCTCCATCCCCCTTTTTCCTCACCAGGACAAAGCTCATCTGTGTTCCCAGCCTTTCCCTGACGGATGCATCAACCTGCACCTTTGGGTGTCCCCACAGGACAGTAAGATCCCAGCAGGAATGTGGGACTGACCCCTGGGACACAAGGAAACCGAGGGCTGGGAAGGGACAGCGACTTTCCAGGTGTTTAAAGCGCAAGACAGAGTTTCTGCACACTCCAGTGTGGACAAACTGATGGAAAACACATCCAGGGAGTGACAAAGCCAGGTACAGCTCTGGGAATGCAGAGAAGGACCTGCGGGATCATTCCAGGCTGCTTCCCTAAGCAGGAGCACCAGACTCTGGACTTTGGCCTCGGGACACCCAGGCAGGGACTAACGAGGCCAAAGCGCCCGACCAGGAATCGGGAAACTCCTCCCATTGGGAAGTCTGGAAAAGTGAAATGAGGATCCTTCCAGGGATTTCTGTTTCCTGCTGAGAACTCTCACTGCCCTTTTCCAGACCCACAGAGCTAGATTCCTCTTTCCAGGCTCATTCCTGGGCCAGCCTTCCTTCCGGAGCTGCCTTATAGACAGGTCAGGCTTGGAAAGTGATGCACTCCCAAATCCAGGGTAAAACCATCTCTGGGAATTCGATCCTTCCCTCAGGAAGCTTTGTGGGCACCCTCCGGAGCCTCCTCTCCTTCCCAGACAGAGCTGCCAGCTCTCCCCATGGGGAGCAACCTGGCCTCTTTGTTATATTTAAGGAAGGGCCAGGAGGAATTCCAGGGATTTTTTTTAGCAAGATAAACAGAACTCTTGACCTCTTCCATCAAAAAAAAAAAAAAACCAGGAGCAGGCACTGTTCCCGGTGGGGACTGGGCTGGAGCCTGGGGAAGAGGGTGCTGCTCCGAGGGGGAAGGGAGACCAGGACAACCCGGGCAACCTTCCCTCCTTCCTTCCCAAGGAGTTCTTTCCATGGAAGAAAAGTGAAGGTCACCAGAGGGACCAAACAACTCTCGGTGGCTTTCCCTGAAAATGACCCTGGAGGGGATCCCAGCTTCCGGAGGAGGAGACCCTCGGGATGAGCTGGAGGGGAGGGAAGGGCTGGGAAGGAACTTACTGGCGAACGGCGGGTCCATGTCTCCCTCCCGGAGCCCGGCTCCATGTCAGGGCCGCATTCCCACTCCTTTTTCCCGAGGCACGGGGCGAGACGAGGAGGGTGAGGGCAGGATCCACATCCCACCCTGCCCACGGAGCAGCCACACCGCCGAGATACCCCGGATCCCTGGAATCCCACCTTGCCTTGTCTCCCGCTCCCTCTCCCGCTCCCTCTCCCACTTTTCCAGAGGCCGGGAGCGGAACAATGGGCGAAAGCCGAGGGATATTTACTAACTGATAATCTCCCCACGTAGAGCAGCCGCCTGTTTTCTCCCGGCTGATAAAGATTCCAGAGCCAACCACTTTCACGGAATAAAGAGGGGGGGAGGATGTCGGATTTGGGGTTTGGATTATGAGTTTTTCCCTTCCCTCCCCCTCCTCCCTGCTTTTCAGCACTCACCGTTCACCTGCTGAGGGGAATAGGCTTCGGATCCGGAATCCGGGGGAGAGTCCGGCAAAGTGCTGTGGAGCAACGGGAAAAGAGAAGGGAAAGTCATTCCCAGCACAACCATCAGGTCCAGCTGGATCAAAGCACCCTCCAAGATCCTGTTGGGAATCCCAAATAACCCTGGGATTGCCATCAGCGCCACTGCTCCCCCAGTGCTTCCCTGGATTTCGGGAGCAGGGACGTTTTGTTGAGCTGGCAATGAGAATTCCAGATAAAAGAAGTCACACGGAAATTTATCTGCTTCCCAGGGAAAGGTGTGCTTCCCCATGGGAATGCCAGTGGCCAGGTGGGGTGCATGGAGCGTTCTTCCCATCCCTGGAAGTGTTCAAATCCAGGCTGAATAGGGCTTGGAGCAACCTGAAAGGTTTCCCAGGCCACGGCAGGGGTTGGAACTGGCTGGTGTTTAAGGTCCCTTCCCAGCCAAACAATTCCATGATCCCATGAAATGGGAGGCTCGGGGGGACCTGGGAAGCCCACAGGGTGGATTTTGCTTCCTGGACCAGAGGAGCCCAAGACCCATGAATTGGATTCTTCATGGGAAGTGGTAAAAGCAGCGGCTGGAGAGGGATGAGGAGGGGTCATCCCAAAAAAGCCCCTGATCATACTTCCCTTGTCCTCCAACTTCCCTTGGAGCACCTTTCCATCAGTCCCTTCCTATGCCTGGCTGGAGTATTTTTTCCCAGCCCTTTTCAGGCTCTTTGCCACACTGACTGTGAGTTCATCCCATATTCCCTAAAGATTTATCAGGATTTGTGCCTCAGCAAGCCAAATTTTGGCCAATAACAAAAGGGAACAGCACAATTCAGGGAATCCTGGAGGTTGGAAAAGGTGGACTGCATAATTCCCACAGGGAACTCAGGATATTCCACAGTTCTCCACTGGAAAAAGCCTTACAGAGCAGGGAAGAGTCATTGTGGAATGCTGCAGGAATGCTGCCATCCGGACCCAGTTCAGCTGCATCCAGAGGTTTTTCTCCTCTGACAGGAAGATATGAGCCTCACTCATGACATTCTGGAGAATTCCAAGTGCATCCAGAAGAAAGGGACATGACAAGGCTTTTGGTTCCCCCCACGCTCCACATATCCCAAGGGAAAACTCCCTGGCCTGGGAGTAAAATAAAGGCGGAGTATTTTAGTTTGCTGGAAGGTCTTTCCAAGTTCATCCGTAGGCTGAGTGTGCTGGAGGTTCCCAAATTTGGGAATCCCCAGGCTGTGCTTGATGGCAACACTAGAGGGCACAAGGCAGAGGGAGAAGAGCCAGTCCTGGGGCCATCCCGGCCTCCCTGTCCCTCACATCCATTTTTTCCATGGCAGAAGGCTCAAGGATTGGCTGTTCGTGGCCACCACCACCTCAGGATCCAGGCTGGAGCTCCTCCGGGAGTGACTATTCCCTTCCTGCTCATGGATACTCTGCTGCACGCCTGGATTTCACCTGTCCAGCCTCAGATCATCTTCCACTTCCCTGTTCCTGGTGGGAGCGGGAAGAGACCAGGCACATCCTGCTCTCCCGGGGTTGTTCCCTTCCATCCCAGGGAGCAGGAACCATATCTTTTCTCCTCTTGGGAATAACCACCCAGTTGAATCCATCAGCAATCCTGAAACCTGCCCATCCTCTTCCTCTTCTCCAGGTCTGCATCCCGAGCTTGTCCAAAGACATCCAGCTCAGATCCATCTTCTGCATCCCTGGAATGGAGCATCTCCCACGTCAGGCCACCAGAAGAACGTGTCCCTGCCCAGTGTGGTGAGCTATCCACTGGGATAGTCATGGGAATATCCTGGAGGTTCCATTTCATCCCAGAGACCGAATTTTGTCCTGTTCAAGTTCACTCCGAGCCTCTTCCTCCTTAAAAAATCCTACAGCGTTCTCCCACTTCCCACCTGGAGATGCCCACCACAGGTATCCCGGTCTCCCAGAGCTCTACGACAACACAGGGGATATTCCCAAAACGCTTTTGGGAAGTTCCAGGGCTTCCATTTATCCCAAACCACCTTTCCACGAGGCAAGAACTCGGCACGGAGCGACGCTGCCACCGGACACGGCCCCGTGAGCCCTCCGGGTGCCACCAGCCCGGAGCGGCAGCAATCCCGTATCCCAGCACGGCATTCCCGCTTACCCAGGTGCATAGGGAGCCTTGGGCTCCGTTTTGATGGGAGGGCCCCCGCTGCTCAGGCAGTGCCCGCCCAGGAAGCCCTTGGGCACCACCAGCCCGTTGTTGTTGTTGCAGTTGAGGTGAGCTCCGTAGGCGGATCCGCAGGGATTGGCCAGCAGAGCACCATGCCGGATCGGGAGCTGGCTGCTGCCGGGGGGAAGGTGGAGGGGGGCGCTGGAAGAGGGATTGGGAGCGCTGCTGATGGAGCTGGAGGGAGTGATGCTGGCGGAGCTGGAGGGCTGGGAGTGCGCGTAGCCGGATGGAGCGGGAATGTCAGGGAAGCAGCTGAGGGAGAGAACGGGAAAACCTCAGCCAAGGTCACTTCGTGCCTGTCCCTCCCCTCCCAAAATGTGGGATCAGAGTCGTTCAGGTGCTCTGGGATACCTGGGAAACAGCGAAACAACCAGCACTGTGGTGGCACCATGAGCAAATGGGGCGCGTCAGCGGGACTGAAGGAAGAGGCCAAAATCCACCTGGGAAGCTTTAAAATTCCCAGGACGCCAGCACCAAGGAATGTGAAGCCAGCGGGATCTGCCCACCATGCTCCAGCTTTCAGGGAAGCTGTGCCAAAAATCCCACGCCCACCCTGCTCACAGGTGCTCTCCAGGTCTGCTCCCCTCTCTCTCCCAGAGCTGGAATATACAGGGAGACCCTTCCCTTCTCCACACTCCTGTTGTGCCAGGGTTTCAGCTGGAGCTCCCAGGGCCTGTTTTCCCATTTTTAAGGAAAAATCTTTATGGTTCCCTCAGGAGACGAAAGAGAGGGAACAACAGAGACCGGGAAAACTCAAAGGTAAAATACCAGGACGAGACAGGAAGAAGAGCTGGGAATGGCAATGGAGCCAAGAGCAATCCAGGAGGACTTTGGGGTGGGGCTGCACAGTGATTCCTACGTGATTCCTCAAATTTCTGGGCTGGAAATTGCTCCACAGGTTTCCCAGAGAAGCTGTGGATGCCCCAGCCCTGGCAGTCGGACAGGACTTGGAGCAATCTGGGCTAGTGGGAGGTGTCCCCAAGCTTCAAGGTCCTTTCCTGCCCAAACCATTCCAGAATTTCAAGCCTCTCCATAGAAGACCCCAGGGAACACCATTCCCGCTGCGGAGCAAGGGAAGCACTTACATCTCCGGAGAGTCCTCCTTGCTGATGTATTCCTCCAGGATGCTGGTGTCGATGTTGGATGGCTCCAGAGCTCCATTAATGTCGTGGCCTGCCAGGGAAGAGGAGGTGGAAGAATGAGCTGGAGAGGGACATGGAAAGGCTTTGGAAACACCACCGGACCTTTGCAGAGCCAAAGAACTGATCTGAGAATCGTGGAATCATGGAATGGGGTGGGTGGGAAGGAGCTGAAAGCCCAGTTCCACCCCCCTGCCCCGGGCAGGGATGATCCGTATCAGCAGATCCTTGAGGGCTGTCTGTCCATGCCCATCCCAGGGTAAAACCCCATCCCGGGAGATGGGATACGTGGGACAGGCCAGGCTGGTGACACAGACACATGGTGGGACTCCACGAGCCTCGTGGATCCCTTCCTGCTCAGACACCCTCTGATTCCCTGGGGACTCTGCCTCAGCTCTGCAGAACACGCTGGAATTTCTCCACCACAGCTCTGGAGCAGCTCCCGACCTTCCTCCCGCTCCTCCCGTGGTGGATTTCCCTCTCTTTTCTCCGGAGGGCTCCTGCTCCCCTCCCTGCCCTGTTCTGGGGAAGCTGGGCAGGGTTTTGTTGACAGCAAGTCCTTCCTTTATCTGTCTCTCCCGAGTGGGAGTCCGGAGCCCGCCGGGGCCGGAGCCAGCCCACGGTGCCAAAGGCACTGCCAAGGAACCGGGAAAGAAGGTCCAGCTCCCTCCAGGGCAGATAAGGAAGTCGGTGAAAGACCATCCTGGAAGACCCCACGTGAAAGCCCCACGTCCAGCCCTGTCCCAAAAGACCCCCTGGCTCAGGGGAAAGGTCACGGGCTGATCCCAAACCTCCATCCCACCCCCATCCAATCGCAGCTCTCCCTCTGCAAATCCCTTTCATACCAAGACAAGCAAATCGGCAGGAATAAATCCAGCTAGGAATTCTGCCAAGCGGACAGGGTGTGGAGAGGGATCTCTGCCTTACAAACCTTGGCTAGAGGGGAAAAAAAACCTGGATAACTGCTGTTTTTCAGGACACCTCCATGGCAGAGCCCGGGGATTTGGGGGACAGGGTGGAGATGCTCTTCCGTGTGAACAAGGGCATCCATCTGGAGCAGGGAATGTGATGCTGCTTCCAGGTGGGCATTGAGGTGAGGATGGAGCAGGCAGAGCCTTTGGGATTCCCAGCTATGCCAGCACCTCCAACATGGAATTGCAGACCCCAGGTGTATTCCTCCTCCCCTGAAGTTTCTGGGATGTGGAAGCACCTCACCAGAATGGATCTACCTCTTCAAGCTCCCACTGGATCCCATAACATTCCCAAAACCCTCCTGCCAGGGATGAGAGCTCCAGGAGGGTGGGAACCAGGACTTGTCCAGAAAGGGTGGGAAGTCCTCCATAAACAGCGGGATACTGGGCTTCCCAATTTTCTGAAGGTGGGGAGGCCCTGGAACGGGTTTCCCAGGGAAGCTGTGGCTGCCCCATCCCTGGAGGTGTTCCAGGCCAGGTTGGAGGGGGCTTGGAGCAACCTGGGCTAGTGGAAGGTGTCCCCACCTGTGGAATGACAGCTTTAAGGTCCCGTCCAAGTGAAACCATTCCAGGATTCCTTCACTTCCTTAAAGTCACCTTGAGGAGCCCTGAGGAGGGTGAGATAAGCCCGGTGACGTGAGAGGTGTGTCAGGGGTGGAGCCGGGACGTGGCTTCCCACCAAAAACCAAGGACCTTCCTCTGCTTGGGAACGCTGGGATTTGCACCAAAAAACCGGGATATGGAGCAGGTGTCGCTGGCAAAGCCACCCAAGGAATGTCCCAGCGGCCGGAGCCTCCGCACGGCCAGGCTCTTACCAAAAGCCAGCTTAGGTGATTAATTCAAATACTTCTCCGTGGAGTCACGAGCTCCCAATGACATTCCCTCCCCCTCCCCAGCGGGGATTAGGAGGAAGCCACCGAGGAGGGAAGCTCAGCGCTCGGCACAGGACAGGCTCCCATTCTTACCCCGCCTGGAAGAGCCCAGGGACACTCTGGGCTCGTCCATCCCAAACCTGTTCCCGGCACTGTCACCCCACTGCCCCACCACGGCACTGCTCCCACCGCTCTGCTTTCCAACCCTTTCCTTGGAAAAGAGCCGAGGTGGTCCCAAAAAAAAGCCTGAAGAACAAGAAGTTAAACCCCGAGCACCCTCCTCGTGAGCGGGTGAGGCCCCCGGACGTGTGAGAATGTCAGGAATCCCAATGTTTGGACTGGTTTTCTCTGCCTTCCCCAAACCTCCAAACGTGCTCCACATCCCAGTGGAGGTGCTTCCCGCTCCTCCCTGTCCCTGCTCCTGCTGCCTTGTCCCTCCTGGGGACATCCAGCTCCATGACTGGCTCCTTGTCCCATTTTTAGGTGCTCCTAGAGGTGAGCACAGGGCTTGGAAAGAGTTAACGGAGCCTGCTTTCCGTGAATCCTCCTATTTACAGCTCCGAGAGGTTTAACCCAGAATTTTCCTGGAGTGATAGGCCGAGAAGTTTATGGAATTTCTATTTATAACAGTTCCTCCCCCCCCCTCCCCAGTTCTTGCTCTGTTGCCTGTCTTCAAATCAGCCCTAATCCTGCCTGGGTCACCTGGGGGTGGGAGGGAGGGAGGGAGCTGGAGCACTCCATGCCGGGATCCGCTAACACGATCCAGATGTGGGAACCTGGAGATGACGCCGAGGTCAATGGCTCCAGAGGGGCTGGGGAACATCAAGGATGGGGGGACACCGGGGAGGAGGAGGAGGAGAGGCTGTGCCAAGCCCAGAGTGGAGCCACGTATCAGAGGGTGGATTTTCCCCCTGGATTTCAGGCGAAACTGAGGCAGGGGACACTCTGGGAAGCAATAAAATATCCGGCGGGTGCAGGCTGGAACAGGAGACCCCAGGAGCTGGTTCCATGGAGCATTCCCTCTCCAGAGTACAGCGGGATAGGTGGATGAGCGGAACACACCACAAGGCCCCCTGGGAATTCCCTGGGATGGCACAGCAGTGCCAGTGCCGCATCCCTGTGTCCCGGCACGAGGGGTTGGTTGTGCAACCTCGGCCCGGGCTGCAGCATCGGCACATTCCCGGGGCCCCCACACCCCCTTCTGCTCCTTCCCATGTTTATCCTTCGGCCCGGGGGGATTGGCTGCTGGCCTGGACGCGAGCAGGAGGAATCCGGGCCACGGCGACCTATCCAAACACCGCCTAAGCCCGGGGAGCCGCGGGGCCAGCGCTCCGCTTCGGAGCTCCTTCCCTACCCTTCCCCGCTCCAGCCGGGAACAGCATCCAGCTGGGAACAGCATCCCTCCCGAGAGAGAGCTGGCAGGGGGCAGGGACACGAACAGCATCCCTCCCCGAGAGAGAGCTGGCAGGGGGCAGGGACACGCCGCTTCCAGAAGGGACAGCGGGACCATGTCCCGGCTGCCCCACGGACCCAAGCCCGGGCCGCCCGCAGGGGTGGAACATCCCGACCCCGCAGCCCCTGCCTCTCGCTGGATGCCAGCCTGGAATTCCTCCTTAATTAACGCTCTTTATTACCTGACTAGAACGATAACCAGCCCCCGAATGGGATCCTGTAACCGGAGCGGGACACGGAGCCGGCGGCTCCCCCAGAGACCACCCTGGAGCAAAGTCCCGGCTTTGTCCCAGGCACTTCCAGGGGCTCCCGGGCCCCTTCCCTGAACCACAGCCCCTCCTCACCCCACTACTGGTATCCTTCCTCCCACCCAGGAATGTCTGTTGGGATCTGCAAGGGCTGGAGCAGGGAAAACTATGTGGGATCTTCCAGGATTGTCACTTGATCTCATTCCTAAATCCCATCCATTGGATTAGGACACCCTTCCTTACACATCCCAACGCAGCCTGTGCCCTTCCCATCGCAAAAGGTTCAGCCACCACCTGTGTCCCATCCTGGGGACATTCCCTTGCCAGCACATTCCCAAGGACAGCCCTGCCCTTCCAAAGCAACGGGGCAGCTCATCCATCCCCGTTCATGCCAGAGCAGAACCCCCAAAGTCCAAATTCCCCACCAAAACCACAGGCAAGGATGAGCTCTGGGAGCTTGGTGAGCTCTCAGCCAGTATTCCTGCTCCCAGTTCTAATCCCACTGCAGTCCTAGAGGAACTATCCCGTGCCAGGCAGGGCAGGATGCAAGGACAGGGATACAGGACAGGTGGGATTTGAGCCAACCCCCCAGATTTAGGGAGTAAAGAGCATTACAGGGTGTCCAGGAAGACCCTGGAGCAGCAACCTGGATAACAGAGGCAAAACACTCGGAATAATGAACCATCCTGGTGGGAGGAACAACCAAACCAGACCTGCCCATGGCCCTGGATGATCCTTTCTGACCCAAACCCTTCCAGGATTCCACAATTCCCAGCCTGCAGCCCAGTGTCCAGAGGCAGCACCACCCACAGCATCTCCCCATCCCATGGAAAGCTCCCTCTGCTCTCACAGGATCCCAGTTCCTTAGCTTACATCCACAGATTATGTCTGACAAAAGCACCTTTGGATAACCTGGGAAAAACACCACACTCAGGGAGAAGGAGATCATTCCCTCTCTCCATCCCCACCTCCCAAGAGGCCAAGGAGTGTGGGAGAGACACCCCAGGGCAGGAGAGGTGTGAGGAGTCAGGGGAAATCACCCCGCTGTGCCACGGGAACGTTTCTGAGGCAGCTCCATCCCAAACTTCCCTGAGTGCTAAAAGCACCTCCACAGCCCTCCTGGAATTTCCCCATCTCCCACGTCCCCGTTATCCCTCCCGGCTCCCTTTCTCCTCCCGGCTCCCCACCCGTGTGCCGGCCTTTCCCCCGCCCTTGCCAGCTGTGAACCTTGGCATGGCTGGAGCCATTGTCCCTGGCAGTGGGGAGGAGGGGAAGGTGTGAGGGGCACACAGAGCCCGTTTGTCCCTGTCCCCGCGGCCGTCAATGCCGCGCTTGTCCATTCATGGCCTGGGCCGGCCGGAACAGCGGCTCCATTTGGGAGGCTCCAAGGTGCCTGCCCAGGGGGGCACATTGCCCCGTTTGTTTGGAGACAACGCCTTTCTCTCCCTCTCCGGGATGAGGGTGTGGGAGGGGGGACAACGGCACCGGAGA